AGGACCACCCAGGTCCATTGATGACATTGCGGGTCTTGGTTTCCCAATCCCACATCTTGGCTGGAGATGCCTCTGTAGGGAGAGGGCAAGTCTCGAGGTTCCCTCGAAGCGTTGCTTTCTGCTGAAGCACATTGCTCTCGTGTTGCATGACCTGTAGGCGGACAAGTGCATTGCCTGTGTCGCCAGCAGCGATCGAACTGACATCCACACTGGGCCCACTTGGGGTAACGACAGAACCAACGTGGGTGAAGTCATCGGTGTGACCGTGGACCGATTCCGTGACGTGGCTGATGGGAGACAATCGCACCGAAGCTGGTGGTGGTGGAAGCTTGATGGGAGGTGCCGGTGCTGCTGGAGCGGGTGCTGGTGCTGGAGCGGGTGGCAAAGCTGCGTACAGACTTGGAAGAATCGCAGATGGATCGCGGAGGAATCGGAAGTAATCGTCGCGAAGGAGGAACTGATGAGGGATCCGACTGTAGGTGCCCGCTGGACAGCGGCCCATGGACCGAAGGTGTGCCAAGGCGGAGTTGATGGAGGGAAAACCAGAAGGCTGCGTAGATGGGCAGCCGACAGATGCAGCCCAGGCCTCGCCAGGCAGCTCCACAACGAATTGGACTCCGAGTCCAGTATTGTGATCCCATCCATTGACGGGAAAAGCCAGGGCTTCGGAGGAAGTTTGCCCGACCTCGTTGCGCAAACCGACAAGCCCACGGAGGAATGGGTGGGAAACTGAGACCATCTCGAAACGGGAACGACCGGTGGGCATAGGAACATGGGCCCCAAGGGGGACCTCCAGGTTGAACAGTTCCCAGAGCTCGCCTTCGTGATGAATCAGACGACCTTGATAGGCCAAGAAGTCGAGGTACTTTGCCGCCTCAGAGGGAATCGAGGAGTTGGGAACTCGACTTCGATTGAGTATCCCATAACACACGTGACCAGGGACAACCGCTTTGGTGGGGCCGAAGGAATACGCTTCTCGAATCACTGTGAATGGAGAGGTTGGCGGCTGTGGCATGGAGCCTGCGGCCAAACTGGAGGGAACGTGATGTTTGTGCACCAGAACACAGTGTATCGTATCCGGAAGGATACGTGCTTCAGGGAGAAGTTCGTCTGGGTATCGTTTCAAACCAGCTCCATGAACGACGGTGCAACCGCCAGTGAAGACAATGCGACCGCCGAGGCTTGGGATCAAGACATTCCCGTATGGAACGGGGTCCTCTTGCGGGAGATCATGGGACTGGGGCTTGGGGATTCCAGTGGAGTCGTCGGACCCACTGGGACTGGGAGTACGCCGGGGATTCGTGGGCTGTGAGAAGCCGGAAACAGAACCACCAGGGCCGGGAACGGGACCACCAGGGCCGGGAACGGAACCACCAGGGCCACCAGGGCCGGAAACGGAACCACCAGGGCCGGGAACGGAACCTCCAGAACCACCAGGGCCGGGAACGGGACCGCCAGGGCCGGGAACGGAACCTCCAGGACCGCCTGGGCCGGAAGAGGAGCCACCAGCGGGACCACGGTAGCCCGGGACGCCACGAATGGGTGCTGGAGCTGGGGTCCTGAAGACGAGACGACGGGAGACTGGAGTCAGTTGGTCAGGCTCGAGCTGGCGGACCAGCTCGAGCCGCCTGGCTTCAATGCTGTCAACCGGTTCGTGCGTTGGGATGGAACCAACGGCACCCTCCAGTTCCAGCTACTTTTCCACGGGAAGCCGAACACCGAAGCGCTTCCCCTCTGGATCTGTCACTACAAGAACAACAACAACACTAATAGCAACAAACACAACCAATCGGTCATACCTATACCATTACACTACCTATTAGCACCATTAGAAGCATTGAAACGAAGCGAAAGGACCTCAGGAAGCCTGTTTTCTGTTATCTTGTTGAAGAGTACTGTTTTACTATAGGATTCAACTCAACGTCATCACGGAAAACATACACCCCTTTTTTCCTCTCTTTACAACCTCTTCAAGCCGAAACGGATCGATACCTCCTATCTCCTATCAAGCGCACCTCCCCTATCAAGCGACTATCAACGCGGCGTTCTCCGGTCCAGATTAGAAAGCCATCCCAATTGAAATCCTACGAGATCGGGCGGGTTTTCTATTCTCGACCGCCGACGGCCAAGTTGGAAGAATTTGAACACAAGAAGAAGTCTCCGGCCTTCCACAGCACAGTACAGAAAACAATTCCCATACGTATTTGTTGCTTTCTGAACTAAGCTCCTGACGGCCGAAGAAATCCCATTGTCGATCCTCTTTCGAACGATCCATCTTCCTCCGCAACCACAGGATCAGTTAACCTTACCCCTAAGGCAACTGACTCACCCGAATCGCGAATCGATTCGATTCAACGAATCGAATCGGATCCAAGACTCGCTACTCCGTGAATCGATCAATCTTCCCGCGACCGTACCTCTTCCTCTGTACGGATCGAACGATCAAGAAGGACTTCACGAGATACCTGCAGTGACCACCCAGAAGAGAATTACACCTGTATTCTTACTTTCTCACCGGCCACTAGTGGTTTCTCCCGACGTCCTTGTTGGACCTGATCCTACTGATCCAACCAGTCCTATCCCTATACAGACTGATTGACTGATTGACACCTGCTGTTACAACCCTCCTTTGATATCTAACTCCTCACCAAGAGGAACAACAAACAACAACAGAGTTCCTGTAAGGACTTGAGTTCAAGAGTACACCGGCTGCCCCTGCAGACAGTCGTCCTCCTCAAACTTTATCACCAGGCTTGGCTGCACTCTCATCGTTCAACAGCCCCTCCCTGGGATATCCAGCTCCTCTCCAAAGGATCCTACCCCCACAAGAACAACTACAAAAGCTGCCCCTCTAGCGTGTTTGGCTAGATTGTGCAACACTTCATTGACACAGCCACCTCTCTGCTACTGCACCTGACTCTCCTACTGAGTGTGGTGCTCCAAAGGATTGAGCCCCAGACAGAACTGCAGCGTGGTGTGGCATAGATATTAATACATAACTGACTCTATCTCTCTCTCATTGATTGTTGAGTGACTCTCCAGTGACTTTCCACAGTTCCACCTGAATCGAGTACCCTCTCCACATCTTGGCTTGACTCTCTGTTGCATTGTCATCCCTACAACAGATTGAGTACCAGCCTCTGAGACAACACAGTGTCATCCAGTAACACAGCCCCATCAACCAACAACACCCCTTGATACCCCCACCACTGCCTCTACTGGCTATAGCGTGACTTCTCCAGTTTTCCCTGAAAGAATCCCTAACAGCCTTTGGCTCTGATACCATCTTCTCCTGCAGGTAGTGGTATACCTGCACAAGACTTGGCCACAGCCTTTGATCCAGTGGCAACAACAACCCAACAACTTGATATAAACCTTGATTACCAGTGCCTCAGTGCATTGCCCCTTGAATACACCCTTCTACATCAATCATCTCGCCACCTCACAAGCAACCTCCATTGCTTGCGTTGAAGCAACGACACTACAGTCAATACTCCAGGATACACAACCCTCCCACCAACCCACCTACCACCCACCATGACTTCCCCATGTCTACCCACTACTTCACTCAAACCCAAGGTCCTCCCAGACATTCCCCCACTTCCCACACTTCACCCAACAACCACATCCACCATCCTCGCAGACTACACAACACCACTCCCCAATGATCACCAACAGCTCCTAGAGACGCAGCCATCTTGAGGATCACACCCTTCCGAATCACACCCTACCTATCAGGGAGGATGCCTTTGTTCTCACCCTTGAACAGAGACATGCCTCTATCCTACAACACACCATCAACCATGCCACCTCCCAACTCCTACAACAACACTCCAACACCAACAGGATCTCCCCTCCTGCCCGCCCTGGCACCAGCCCACTCCCAGTGCACCCTTATCCTCCTTCTCTTGACTCAACAACCCCTCGAACAGCCCACAACACTCCAGCAGCCACTGTGCCTCCCTCCTGGGAACCACAGACTGCCAGTGTGTCATTTGACCCCATCTTTTGCCTGCTTGTTGGCCTCTATCTAACAATATTTGTGCATTGGATGGGTTACACCCTGCTCTGGTCCAGCCTGAGGAGTACCACCTCCTACGGGCTCTGCTGGCATCTTGCCTTGCATGCCAAGGCACTTGCCACAGCTTGGGACCTGATCACCCAGACACACTTACTGGCGAGCACTCTTTGGTCTGGCAATCTATCTGGTCCTCACGGCCCCTTTGGTGATAATGGTTTCAATACCGACAAAATCCTGTGTAAGCCTCTGTAACCCAGGTTTTGCGCTGCAGGTTCCCTATCAATGTGCTCACCCCCCTACCCAGGGCATCTGTCTACTTGGTGCTGGCTCCACGTTGGGCCAGTGGATGAGGTCATGTTGATTGGGCAAACAAGTAGATGACGACTCAGCTAGGTGGGGATCTCCCCCACCACTTGCCCGCGTCAATAAAGTCACTCCGTGACCAATAGCTTGTTAAGCCAAATGAGTAATTTAACCCCCATGCGTCTCCGATTGGTTTGGCCATAATCAAGCATAAAGTGAGCATCGATTGCATGCGTCTCCAATTGTTGGCCCTTATTCAAGCAATACGAATCCCATCTCCAATTGAGTAAAGATAATATAGAATGCAAGTGTTGATACATTGCCAATCTTTCAAAGAGTGCCTTGCCAAATCGTCTCTTTGTGTTCGATGGAGGATCGAGGTTCCGAATCTTTATAGTGATTTCGAAATTTCGAAAGGATACTTTGACTACCGTATAATAAGGCTTTTAATGATGCCCTTTAAATCTATAGCTCGAATCGTGCCTCCAATCTCAACGGAAATTGCTTCGAAATTGGTCGAAGCTTCGAAGCTTCGACTTGCTTTCGACCAAAAAGCAAGGCTAGCATTTACCAAGCACTCACTATATTTTCAACCGTGGAACCCATCCATGCATATCGACCAAACCAAACCAAACCAATCGACCATGGCAATGACACTATCAAGCCGTTGCCTCGCCTACCAACCCTCTCTAGATCTGCGCTCCTTCTCCTCTTCTCTGGCATGCACACGGTCGACAATGGTCAGTTCCAGTACCGAGGGAAACTCATCTTCGATTTCCGGGAGTCCAAGGATGTCTTCGATGGATGTCACCTTTTGTTGCTTCTTCCTTTGATCTGCTAACCCCTTCTTTGCTTTTGTTTTCTCCGAATAGTTTCGGGCTCTCTTCTTCTTGATATCCTTCTGCGTGGCTTTGACGGCGTCATCTGTCAGGTTGGCTTCGAATTTCATTTCGGCATGCATTCTCTTGTCCTTCGTGGCTGCCATTGATCGGAACCTGTAATCTATCCTGTTGTTTGCTAGTAATACTGCAGCTTATTGGGGAGTAATTTGGTTTTAGATTAAGCTGAAAAGCAAAAGTGAGGATTTTCTGGTGGTGCATAGCAATTCTTGTGATTGAATTGGATATAAGGATCCCCGTAACACTTTAGACCTAAAACTCCCTTGGTTCCTTGCATGATGAATTTTCATGCAAACCGGACTAGATGATTAATACACGAGTCAATAGTAAAGAGGTGTCAGGTATATTTCCTCCAACACACTCCTGCACGGTGCCCTAAGTGGCTACCGTGGAACGAATAAATAATTTAGGAAATCAAACAAGGGGTGGATGCCCCATGATGAAAGCCCTGTGCTCATGAAAGAGTCTGCCCTGAAGGGGCTTCGTGAAAAAATCTCCACGCATCTCCAAGGTTGGGCAGTACACAACTCTGAGGTTTCCTTTTCCAATCTGATCGTGAATGAAAAAGAAACGGATGTTAATGGCCCGAGTCCTCTTGCCCGAGCTGCCCTTGCCGTTCTCTGCGAGAATGATTGTGCTCTTGTTGTCCTGCATGAGAACGTTGTCCTTGACAACGATCCCCTGCTCTTCAAGGAACAACTTGGCCCACAACATTGGAGACATGACGTCGTCTGCACCAATCAGCTCCGCTTCAGTGCTGCTTCTTGAGTTGAGCTTCTGTTTCGCGGATACAGAAAGCACCGCTCCTCTTCCAAAGGACATGACTCCTCCTGTATGGGAACGGTAATCAGGATGGACTGCAAATGATGCATCCACCCACCAAGTGATGACACGGATATCATCAACGTGGAGTATCAACTTGTCCTCCACTGTTTGGTCCAGGAACTTCAATCCTTGAATCAACTTGCCCCAGTCATCAACTGTGGGATTCCTCACACGTGTACAGAGAACAATTGTCAGTGTTTGAACATCTGGTCTTGCTCTCTTGCACGCGAACAACAGCTTGGCTGCGTTGGTGTGATAGATTTCTCTGGTCTTGTCATCCAAAGCAGCTCCATCACCAGAACTGAATAAATCGGCAGGTGCCGCGCTGGACACCTTCTTCATTTGCTCGAAGTCCACCGGGAACTCCAAGATCATCTTCTTAAGATAGTCAATCATGTCAATGACTACCTTGCCTGGATCGGAAAAGTCCACCGTCATCCCCAAGTAGTCATGCTTGGGACCACGGGTTGCCTTCACGGCTCCATAGGTACCGTACTTGTCATTGAACCACTCCAGGGTTCGATTGTTTACCAGTTTCATCCGGTGGCTCGACATCAGGTCGTCCACATGGAAGCGTATCGTCTGCTGATATCCTTCAATCATCCTGTTGGCAACACACGGATCATACTGGTTGAATACGAATCCGATTCCCTCCAGGTCGCTCCTGAAGAGCTTGTACCAGAGCAATGCTGCCAAAACCATTCCGTAGATGGCTCTTTCCACAACGACATAGAGGACTGGTCGTCCCTTCTTGTATGTCAGGAAAGAGGCATATGTGTCAGGATCAATTTCGACAAGTAAGTCTGCAAGGGTTCCCTCAATGATCATGAGGACCCTGTCTTCACCTTGTTTGACTTTTGGCATTGGGGTTTGGATGAACGCATTGGGAACATCCAGAGACATCACATCCCTATCTTCGGATGCATCGACACACATTGCATTGTGTTCCACTAGCAGTCGATGCTGAGTGGCCCATGGATGTTCCATTCATGGGGAGAGTTTGTAGATAGTTAGTTAGTAACTAGTCGTATATCGTGGCATTCCCATGAGAGCGGATCCATACGCACTCGTGGGGAGCGATAACTTTTAGGAGCGAGAGCTCTGGATCCCGTCAGAGATAGCTCCAACAGCTATGCTGGCCTACAGCTCCAGCACCCACAGCTGGCTTATCTCCAGCCAAAGCAGCAAGAAAGGATCGTCCTTTCCACCATAGTTAAGAAAATAGTACGAAAGATTGAGACCGATCCTGATTAGCTTGTAGCCCCTTTGATACCGCAGCAGTTGATACCAATCCTGTTGAGGCCGGGCAGAAGCAGTAGGAGGGAGCAGATAGTACTGTTCCCAGACTGCCACTGCACGATTGAATAACGAAGGCCCCCAGCTCCTGAGGAGAGCTGGCCCAAAAGGGTCCAGCAGAGAGCTCTACTGGCCCTCCTGTCTGACTGACAGGGCCAAGTCCTTGGTTTGGTGCCTACTGGAGGTGTTGGAATACTCCTGAGGCACGACAAGGCTCCCTGAACTGCCTGACTACCGCTGTCCCTGAGGAAGGGTTTCAGCGAGGTCCAGTCCACTACTTCAGTACTGGAACAGATCCTTCTAGAAACTTATTGGATTATCAGTCAGCATAGATTTGCAGGCAGTCCTTAAGGGAAGAAGAGACCTCCTTGACGAGAAAAGGATCTCTTCGAATTACACTACAATATATTGGTTTACAGTTGATTTCATTGGAATTTGGTGCTGATTTCAAGCCTACTTTTGAAGTCCTAAGTCAACAACCTTCTGATCGATTTTGATAGTTCCAGCCACCACCACAGTGACAGGAACCTTCTTGTTGGCCACCTACCATCTACAAAGCCAACACCATCATCATTGTCATCTAGCTAGAAGGAACTACACAAACAACCTCATCAACAACGCCATTGGCTTGCCTTAGCCACGGAAGAGAGGAAAAGCACCCAATTCATCACTCGAAAGAAGAAGCGGTAACCGTGAAGGAACACCTGGAGTCTCCAAGAGAACACGAGACTTATTGATTTCGCACCTATCTTGGCAATCGAGCAACGCTTTTACGCTTTGAGGAACGGGCTTATTCCTTTCCAGTCAATCAGCGAATTACGTGGCTTATTGCGGTGTACGGGGCATATCTCTTTCATTCGGCTGTGCAGTTTCAAGTGTCACGAGTTTCCGTCCTGTACCGGATTCAGCCTTTTTCGGAACGTTGAAGAGGATCTCACGGAAGCCGATCAGCCAATCAAAACGCCCGTGCAGTATCTTTCCATTTACGCGGAACGTTGATTTGTTCCTGGACGTTCTTCTCGAAAGCCGCTCAGCCAACCAAAAACGTCCTTGGGTTTGGTATTTATTACGAGTGCACTGAGTCAGTGCGTGAGAGTCACGCGGAACATTTCGAGTTCTTTTCGATCCTGGATTTGCGAAGACTTATACGACAACGTTCCCCCTATCGGTTCTGTACTTATCACGCGAGATTCCCCGTCCTGAAAGCAGGTTCAGCCACGGTAACCTGTTTGCCCTCACATTTTAAGGAATTTACACCGTCGAGTCATTGAAAATCGCGATCTTCCGTACGGAGCCTTTATCCGCAACACCACAGAATCGACAACTCGAGGCTACCACGAGACAACCAAGAGGTCAATTCGCTTGGCTGAAAGTATTACCAGTGGATCCTCCACCCTTTGTTTAGTCAGTGGGTAGCTCACCTTGGATTCTGGAAGCTTTTGTGGGGAGATTCATTGGACCCAAGTTGACTGGTTCCAGTGTGGCAAAATCACCAAAACCAAGCAAGTTCCCAGCACCACGGCAACACAGGAAACAGGTCCCAGCCCTTGTACCTGGTCTACCTTATTCAATTACCACCCACTTGAATTTCCTAGCCCCATACCAAGATCCCTGGAAGCATCCTTTGTGGTTTCCAAAGTACAGTTGAGTTAGCCTTATTCTCCTGCTACAAGAGCTGAAAACCAGTGCTTCCACCTTTACAGCAGGTACACCTCTCCTTTGTCAATAACAAGAGGCACCATGTCTTTCTATGGTTTCTACAGCGATGTGAGCGACCCTTATGCACCTGGCTACTCCGAACGTTGGTGGCACCACGCCTACCCTGGGCCCCAAGTCCAAAGTAGCTACACCAACACCGCCTGTGCCCGCCCCACACACCACGATGGAGCTGGCAACAGCAACCTAGCCTACTGCCACCGGCATCGAGACACACAGCCACCAGTGTCACCACCAGATGAATACAAATCCGTCTTTGACATTCTTGAGAAGACACCGGCACCACCTGTGTCAACAGTGTCCCCACCAGACGCATACACATCACCCTTCGACATCCTTGAGAAGAGGCCGGCACCCATGGCCTACGGTAGGACCAACCACCAGCTGGGTGATGGGAGATTTCAGAGCTGTCTCCTGACAGCTCCAGTTGTCACCCAGATCCCATTTATACCCCAGCCATGGAAGACATGCTGATCCACTTTCAACAGCAACAGGTCACCGGTGCCCAGCAACTCGACCTCATGAGAGCTGACCACGAAACCTTCAAGCGAAAGATGGAAGCTCAGTTCATCGCGTTGAAGGACCAACTGACAACTCAACTGGAAGCCTTGGTTATGGTAGCTGCTAGGCCACCTGTCACAGCGCCTACACCTGCTTTGACACCACCAGTTCATGGGGAGACCAATGCCACTCCACTGTCAGCCATGGGCAGTGCTGATGGCGTCCACAAGCCGGCTGGTGACAGCGCTATTGGTACCCAACGGCTCCACAGCCCAAAGAAGCAGCAGCGCCACAGGGCTACTCGTTCCAAGCAAGAGGCCACTACCATCCAGCAACGATTGACTGATGCCCTCTTGGCCACCAACCAGCTGCCCACCAATGTAGCCACGGCTCCATCTCCCAAGCTAGCTTGTGGGAGTTGCCTGTCACACGACCCCTGCGTGTCCCAGCTACGAGCCACCAGCTGCCCAGTGCCACACCCTTGCATGCCCTCGCTGGTGCCCATCCATCGTTGGATGATGGGGAGATTATCGAGCTTGCCAGCCCTAGTAGTCATCCAACCTCTGGGGAGATCATGATGGCAAAACCCAGCCAGTAAGCAACCAGCTTCCGAGCTGGTGCCAACAACATTCCAGTTGCACACCAAATAGACCAAGTGTGGACCCCACTCAGTCAGCTCTACAACCAAGAGCACATGAGCAGACTCACACAGTGGTGACCCCCA